CAGATGAATAAAAAAAGGATTTAAAGGTAATTTAATTCTCTTCAAAAAATGTAGAGGCAATATTTGACGTACAACTCACCACTAGTAACTTTTTTTACAAAATACACGAAAATGCGGCAATTTTTTTGGTTTTTTAGCATTATCGCATTTCACATATTTCCAAAATAAGTTTTTATATATACCAAAATTTTCGAAATTTAATTATCTTTCACTGTTATAAGATGTAAAACTTCTGTTAGAGCTATAGATTTTGAGTTATTAGTGATTTTATCATGAACAAAGTATATTCGATAAACGATAATAAATGTTAAAAAAATTCATATCTCTGCCAATATTGATCGTACAAAAAAAACTATAAGAAAGAAGTTGTTCGTAATTAAATTGTCTATAACTTTCATTTGAACCATTTTCCGATCCGAAGCGCCATTTTTGCTTTATCGACGACAAATGCGTAATGCGCTCGAGACTTTCTCATTTCTCAAAAAATGGCCCTTGCTTACAAAAAATCTACTTCGACTACAAGTGCTCGTACAAAATTTTTGTAAGGACCTTTTTTGCGTAAAATTACATTCTCTACAACTTTCGCGTCTTCACCCTAAAAGTGATACTTTTTGACTTATTGCCGAAAAACCTATTTTTTGCACCTTTTTTGCACTGTAATTTTCGTAGCGTACACGATACGGGGGTGGGCTTTTTGTACCTTCATTATGATCCAAAAAGACACCCCTCCAGCAACGGGCAGCCGATATGGAATTACTTCCTTTCTAAAATGGATTTTGACTGGGCTATTACTTGAGGGTTCCTACTGGTCGCAAGCCTTCCATTCTCCTTCTCCCTATTCTTTACTCCTAATATATATATTTTAGTATATTTTTTTAATTTTCAAAATTCTCAAATATATATCATAGAATTTTATTTTCAAAAGGAACAAGTATTTATTGCAATTTCTTATAAGAAAATCGAATTGAAAAAAAGAGAAATTTTATTAAATAGATATTGAAGAGAAAGTTAATCGTCAGAAAACTTCATTACTGGAAGAAAGGTTAAATCATTAAATACTGTTAAAGATAATCATTCATTTTTTTCTTATTTGTTTATATTTGAATCTTTTGTACGTCTTATATAAAATTGCATATTTATATATTTTATTAAAGAACACACTTCCTTTTTTTTAAATTATCTCTTCTTCGTCAAAATATTCACTTTATAAACACCTGGTATATAAGATTGATAATTGCATTTTAGTTTAGAATACAAACTTATCAAAATCTTAGATATAAAATAATTAAAACTACAAAAAAATATGTATCGACATTCACATAACAAAGACATTCTCTGAGGGACGTGCTGGCGACGTTTTTAGGATGTAGCATGGTGTAATACACGGGATGTAGAATATTTTCTGGATGTCATTGCCTCAGAGAACTTTGTTACAAATATAAAAAAGTATGAATAAGATGTATAACTATGATTTTAAGCGTTTTACTGTATTTTAATAAGATATAAAAAAACAATTATATCTATAAATAAAATTGAAATTTATACATTTATGAAAGTAATGTTAAAATCAATTAAACTTCAATAACATTATTATGAAAATTTGAAAGTGTTTATTTCTAATAATATATAATTTTTACGATGAACGTTGTAATTCGTGTCACAGTCACGTAAAGAGAAACCGGTTTTTCAATGGTTCTCCCACATGGAAAAGGCAGTTGACGAAGCGGGGATAAGTCACAATAGTGCATACTTTCACATGTGAATGATGTGTATTTCATTGCTCAAAAGTAAATTTTTTACGGACTAAATAGCTGAATTAATTTTAATCCCACTTAAATAAAAATAATATTATGTTAGATGAAAGGAAACTTGGAAAAGAGCAAGATAAAAAGGTACGAAATTCAAAAACTGTTTAGATTTATTATTATTAATAACGAATTGATATATAGGTCAGTGTTGTAGACAAAAGAGAGAACAGTAACTAAAGGTATATAAATAAATTTCTTTTTATTCAAAGATACTTGGAAAATTTTACTCAAAGTAAGATCAAGTACTAAAAATATTGTTCCGCTCTCACACTTATTTATATTTAATTAAATTTAAAAAAGTTTTAATCTCAGATCAAGATAATGTTTTGTTACAGAAACAAGTGAAACAATGTTTTATGAAGGAACAAATTATAAATTTGAAGATGAAGACAGTGCTGAAGATTATTTTATCTTCCGTAGTGGTTCCTTTGATTCTATATGGCATATTTTTTCTGTATCTACGTTATCAAACGCATTTGAGACATCTGTTCGAGAGACCGACGATAATAAATGAGGCTAGACCAAAGTTTTGGATCTATGCCAAGAGCAATGACACTGGTTACCTGAAGCATGTGTATGCAGTACTTCAACGACTTGGTTTCCAGGAAGGTAATAATAAATCTGATTGGGATCTGTTGTGGGCTCACGATTATCCTTTTCGTGTGTTGTCCGCGAGTTTAAATAAATTGCAACAACATCAGCGTGTCAATCACTTTCCCGGTTGCGGCTACATTACGAACAAAGTGGACTTGTCGACGTCTCACGGCAGCCGGTATATCCCAGCAGCGTTCAAGATGCCTGAAGATCAGCAAGCTTTCATTGATTATGCCAAATCAAACCCCGCAAAACAGTTCGTACAAAAGTCGAACGATCATCGTGGCATTCGCATTCGCGACAGCAGCGATACAAATTTCACTGCTGGCACATTCGTCCAGGAGTTTATCGAGCGGCCGTTTCTCGTAGATGGTTACAAGTTCGATATTGGTGTGTACACTGTCATCACTTCTGTGGATCCGCTACGGGTGTACATTTACAAGGGTGATGTGCTGTTTCGTTTCTGTCCAATCGAGTACTATCCATTTGATCCAGAGATTCTAGATAAGTATGTGGTTGGTGATGATTACCTACCGATTTGGAACGTCCCATCCTTGAAGAGACACTATGTTGAACTCGGATACTCAATGAAGGACTCATTCGATGCATACGTCAGGGAACAAGGAAAAAATCCGACAAAAATGTGGAATCGAGCGTATGACGCTATTCAGGAGATCGCTTTGCTAAAGGAGGTACAGATCAGAGACGTCTCCAAACGCTTCGGCAACGGCAGAAATTTCTTCGAACTTGTGAGATTCGACTTGGCCCTTGATGAGGACCTGAATGTCTACATGATGGAAGCAAACATGTCGCCAAATCTGTCTTCCGCACATTATCCACCGAATCAGTTATTATATGAGCAAGTCATATTCAATACATTTGCGTTGGTTGGTATCGCCAAGAGAATTAGAAAAGAATCCTTGAGACCAAGGTAAACATGTCACGAAAATATCAAGATTCCTAGAAGTATATTCTAGAAGCTATTTCTAGAAATGTACTTCTATCCATCTAAAAAATATAAAATAGAAATGTTTTATTTAATATTGATATTATCATTGTAGAAATAAAAAGGAAGAGGAGATGGAAATAGCGAATAAAAATATTGTAGTGTTACCGGAGCTCTGTCAAAAATGTGATAATGACTGCTTTCGCATAGAGTGCCAATTGTGCCGACCGTGTTTCACTCCAGAAATAAAACTCATTTTGTCGCAGAGTTATCTCGAGCATCAAAACCGAATGGATTTTCAAAGAATTTTTCCACCTCCTATAGTAAGTCATAGTTTTTTGTTAACTACTCGGCTGGATTGTAACTGAATAAATTTTTTACAGACAAAGAACATGATGTTGAACAACTACACGCTAAGAAATCAATTACTTATCAGATGGTACCAAGGAAAATGCGAATTAGACAAGACATGGTGCAGTTGATCATATGAACAAAATATATTACGTAAGTTCTATGTAATATTTATTTCAGATATATGAAACTGTATATATATAATGTACAAATGAATAGGAGTATCGCTATAAAAATTGTTTAACACGTACATGTAAAGTGAAAACGCGCGAATGTTAAATTTAATTATATTAGTATTATTCTATTTGTACATTGTACATTTAGAACGTAAAAAATCACAAAGACTTAAAGCAATAAAATTATATGTTGGATCAACGTATCATGTACTTAATTATTGAAAACGCGCGCGTACTCTGTATAATATACCAAATAAATATATAGGAAAACATTTCGCATACAAATGTAGAATTAAAAAAAAAATTGTAAGATTATTCGTTCTCCGTTGACGAAGTTCCTTTAGCGTGTGTGTGTGTTTTACGATCTTTTTTGACTTTTGATTCAGGCGCATTTGGATTGACACCTTTATAAAAATCTTGGAGTAACTTCATGGCTTCTTCTCCTTTTACATTTCCTTTTATCATTATTTTTGAATCGTAAAACTTTGGTACTTCGAGCACACTGATACAACCACCAAATCGATCGTTCTTACAGCCGTATATAATACTGCGTACTTGTAATTGAAGTAATGCAGACACACACATTATGCACGGCTCTACCGTGACAATTACATCTAGATTACGAAACACCGCTTCGTAGTCCATGCATTTCTCCTTACAGAACTTTAAGACTTGGTCGATGCAATTTATCTCGGCATGACGAGTTGCATTACAAGTTTCATTTACTGTATTATTGCCCGTCGCAATTATTCGGTTGTTATATATAAATAAACAACCAACCGGGACTTCACCAGCTCTTAAAGATTCCTCTGCTTTTTGTAATGCAACGTCCATCCATGTCGAAGTATCCATAATAAGCACTATTAATTATTATATCATATGTTGGCGAGATATTTTCTAAATCAATATTAAAGACAGTTTTTTAATAAAATTATTAACTCTTGAAAAAGAGAGAGTTATTCTCTCTATAAAAAATGTTATCTTAAATAAAATTAAAAGAATGCTTTGTCTGATGTTTATATCTTCAAAAATAGTATCTTACGCAAAAGAAAAATTAGACAGTAGTATTTGTTTTGTCGAAATATTTAAGTAATTCTAATTCGTTTAGCCGTTGCTTAGCAGTTTCATTCCAATTTTGATTGCCTACAGCTCTTGGGCTGGGATGTCGAAGAACCATCACCTGAAAGAGCCATTGTATAAGTTAATATAAGTCTTGTGTATTATTTGTTATTATGTGTGTATTATTAGTACAATATTATTAAAATATTACAGTATGTGTTACCTGTACTGAAAGGCCTCCTGTTTGGGCTGCAATCTGTGCTCTTTTTTCAGCGTAGTTGCCAATGCCAACAACAATCTCTACTTTCAGAAGTTGTATTATATCTATTAGGGATTTGTCACAAGCCTCATGTAAAATCCTTTGTCCTTCACCCTGAAAAGTACAAAATAGTTCAGCATAAGGAGAAAGAAATACAGCAGGATGAATATTGCCTTTATTTCTGCCGGTGTGATGTTTCGAGCTTTGTCATCCATGAATGCCAGTGGGCAATAATTGTGCATGTATGCATATCGGAAGAAGTTCTCAGGAATTTCACACAGATCTCGAAAGAGGCTCCACAACCTTAGTCCACTAACTTCGCTGCGTGTACATTGAAATCCTATCACCTTTCGGTCGGGATGTTCTTTGGAGGGTTTATTAACAGGACCAGAGATTTTGAGCCAATCGCGAACCATATTTATTTCTCCAAATGGCACACCGGTTTGCGACATGCCCCATGGTCCAGGATTCATACCAACAAACAAGATCTTTTTTGTGCCAGTACAATACTTGCGTACATACATGGCATGTGTTTCAGATGCATATTCGAGCGGATTATAAATATACTGTATGGATGGTGGAAAAGTGATATCTAGCAATTTGGTACAAAGCTCTTGTTCAATTGATAACAATCTATCAGAGATAAATACAGATATTGTAGACGTGTGTCCCACTGTAGCTCCATTTTCTTCTGTATTAGAAGTATGTTCAATTGTATCTTCTCTTGCTTTCGTATCAGAAACAGGTTCAAGGATGGCAGATTTATGTTCCTCTGTGCCTGCATTTTTAATTCCCAAAGTCGTTTGTATTTGTGTCATATAATCTATGACATTTGAATTCGACCGTTTGAATTCTTTTTCGCTTGACAAATCGTCACTTTTTGCTCTAGTTCTCTTCGTGCGAGGCATAATTATATTTTCGAGAGAGTCTGATGTATGTAGAAACTCAAGGAAGAATTACTTCAATATTATTATGAAATAATATTCAAATTATATGTACAATAAATGGCTGGATTAATTAATATGTGTTAGTAATTTAAAGGTATATAAAAAAACAACTCCCACGTTTTTTAAGATGTGGATACATCAATAAAAAAACCATGTGTTTCACCTTCGAGATATAACAGGAACTGCACAATACTTTTTGTAATTTCTCTTATCGAATTAACTAATAAACGTCATCAACTTACTGCAAGTTCAGGAACCGTACTTGTGTATAAGAATGCAGTTCTAATCAGTTCTAATAGATCTATCTCTTTCGGTTGTTTCGTTCAAAATCTACGAAACGCACCCGAATGTGTTTCCGAGAATATTCCGTTACACAGAAAGAAAGGAAATTTGCCTCTACTCACCCCCGTTATTTCGACAGTTGTACGCAAACATGGAATAAATGCACTGCAGTTGCACCTTCTACATCTCTTTTCCTATTGCTTTTCTCCTACTGCTTTGCGGAAATTTTCGCAGAATTCAGTATGAATTATATACATTCGTGTCTCTCACAGTTCGAGTGTAGAAAGTGTATGAAAATGCAGCTAAGCACCACGTGCGTCTTGCTAACCTTAACCTAACACGTACAATTCGACGATCGGAGCAATTGCGGAGTTTGAAAATTGGAATTTTATTCCACACGCGTTGGATCATACGGATGTACATACATATGTACTATGTTAAAGAATTATTTAGAAAGATTAACATATTCTATTAATTCGATTTATTAAAATCATTTAAACGAAATTTCGAGTATATCTCGAGATAAGGCGAGTTTTGTAATTCGTCTATTGATCGATCGTATTATGCGAAAATGCAACTTTATTCAAAAAAAGACTGTCAATTGATAAATTTAAAAGGTCAACTATTTTATACCATTATTTTACTGGCTGAAATTTTAACATTGCTTAATATTTAAAATCACTGGAAATCGATTCGAATAATACAATCGCAATATGAATCGATATCTGATGAGAGATCCTATAGTATCGTAATGTTTCTTAAATGAATAAATAACAAAATAACTAATAAACTAATTCTTTTTGTGTGAATATATAGAGGATGCCACACTAATATGTGAATTTTTTCGTGCGAATTAATTATTTTTGAACAGGTTTATATACGCGCCCATATACGATGTGAATTTTTGCGTGTGTGTAGTTCCTGGACTTATATGCCAGAAATTGTTAGCAATGGCGTTCGACAGACGAAATACTTTGAAACGAAAAATAACTGATACTGGCAGCGACTCGGACAATGAAACGGAAAGTGAGTATGTGTGTACGATGTAGTATATTGTCGATTTAAATCAGTACGTTCTAGATACGTAACAATTTTAATGAAATGCATAAAAATGCTGTGTACGTGCAGTTTGAGGTTAAATGATATTTTCCATGATTTTTCTTTGTCCTTACATGAATGTTTGTAATAATACATTTCCGGGTATTGATATATAATAGAGAAAGTAAAACGAAAGAGTAAAATAATCTTCTGCTCACTTTTTTACTTATCGCTTAAAACATAACCTATAATTTTATTCTCTCGTAGCTGTATTTTTGTCCTGTTGCAGAGACTGTGAAGTACATAAAAACGAGATCGGAGGCGCCACGATTGTGTCCATATTTGGACACGATTAATCGACAATTTCTGGATTTTGATTTTGAAAAGTTGTGTTCTGTATCATTATCTAGGATTAATGTATACGCTTGCCTGGTTTGCGGCAAATATTTTCAGGGCAGAGGCACTAATACTCATGCTTATACACATAGTGTAGCAGAGAGTCATCATGTTTTTCTTAATTTACACACGCTCAAATTTTATTGCTTACCAGATAATTATGAGATAGTAGGTAGGTAAACTTATTTTTATATTCTTGTTCTTCTTTGTATTTCAACAAGTGACATTTTCCATGTTCAATAGATTCGTCCCTGGATGATATTAAATATGTATTAAATCCAACTTTTGATAAAATACAAATAGCTCAACTAGACAAGAGCGATAAACAGTCTAGAGCAATCGACGGCTCTATGTATTCACCAGGAATAGTAGGAATGAATAATATAAAAGCAAACGATTATTGCAATGTCATTTTACAAGTAATATAATTTATAATTAAATGGATAATATCATTGTTTTATGCATTTTGTCACGTTGATATTTTTTTATAGGCACTTTCGCATGTTACACCTTTGAGAGATTTCTTTTTAAGAGAATCTAATTATGCTCATGTAAGGAGACCACCTGGGGATTCATCGTATCTCTTGGTACAAAGGTTTGGAGAACTTATGCGCAAATTATGGAACCCACGTAATTTTAAAGCGCACGTAAGCCCACATGAAATGCTACAAGCAGTAGTTTTGTGGAGCAAGAAAAGATTTCAGTTTACAGAGCAAGGTGTGTAACAGATTTTATTAACATGCATTTTTGTTATTTGATTAAAGTAATATTTTTACTAATACAAATGATTGCGTTTAGGCGATCCTGTGGATTTTTTATCGTGGTTCTTAAATGCTCTCCATCTAGCGTTAAACGGTACAAAAAAGCGTGATTCTAGCATCATTTATAAAACATTTTTGGGTCATATGCGAATATATACGCGAAAAATACCACCATTGGAACTAGAGGAGAGCCAAAGAAGTGAATTGTTACACACAGTGGAGTACGGTGAAACTGTGACGGAAAGTCCATTTTTATATCTCACTTGCGATCTTCCGCCACCTCCACTATTTAAAGATCAATTTACAGAGAATATTATTCCACAGGTCAGTATTTTGTTCACGCATAAATTTGATCACATAAACGGAATATAGCAGAGATAAAAAAAAATAGCCTTTTTTATTCATTTAGGTAAATCTGTACACACTCCTGAACAAATTTAATGCCGTCACTGAGAAAGAATATAAAACTTACAAGGAAAATTTCATGAAAAGATTTGAGATTACCGAACTGCCACCATATCTCATACTTTACATAAAAGTAAGTTTTATCTACTATAATGGTATCGATATATTTTGCATTATTTGATAATTTTTGTATTGGTTTTAGAGATTCACAAAAAATACATTTTTTGTTGAAAAAAATCCAACAATTGTGAATTTTCCTGTTAAGTGAGTACATAATAGTTTCTTGTTTCATATACTATTATATACTAAACAATTTATTATTAACAACGTTTAGTTATAAATCCTAATTATGTTGCAGAAATGTTGATTTTGGAGATATTTTAACACCGGAAGTAAAAGCTAAGCATCCATGTACAACGTATGACTTGGTAGCTAATATAGTACACGATGGTGAACCTGGACAAGGAACATACAGAGTCCATATTCTGCACAAAGCCACAGGCCAATGGTATGAATTGCAAGATTTGCACGTTACACAAATTTTACCACAAATGATTACTCTTACTGAAGCATATGTACAGGTGAGTAAAGGTACTTGTTTCTTTGTGGTTTACGATATTTAGGTAATCACTGTATTTTCTTTCGACAGATTTATGAGTTAAGGAAAGATACGTACATGGAAAATGGAGATAGTAAAAATAAAAAAACTATGTGATACGCTTGAATAAAAGCTCGGAAATGTGAAAATAAAAAATTTACATTTTATGTATATAGACTTTGTCTTAATTTTTTTAAATATTTCCATTGTAAACTTATGATATTTTTTAGAAATGATAAATGTCTTATCGAGTCGGAACACTGGTTGATCGTGTGAAATGATGCTTTATTGTATCTTGATAATAACAACGTTTCGATCCTAATTCGGATCCTTTTCAAGTCTCAAAGTTCATATAATAATTAATATTGGCTATGTTTACACCGTGCGCTTAGTCTGCGACCTATACGATAGGTGTCTTTGTTTAACCTACAGGATAAACAAGGACATCTATTGTTTAGGCCGTGGCCTAAATGCACGGTGTAAACGTAGCCATTGTTAACATTGTGCTCCCTAGAACACTGTACATTGAGAATAAATTAAAATAATTTTAAAACATTAATACATTACATATATCTTGAATTACTTACATGTAGCAAATATAGAAAATAGAATGCAAGTTGTCATGTAAAGAGTAAAACTACTTCTAATTGCAAAATTAATACATCAGTTGACATTGTCATATACGAAAACAAGGCAAAGGATTATTGCTGAGAGAGAAAAAGATATTACTTAGTAATATAAATTTAAACTATTGTTTTGTTTGCGTATGTAAATCATTTCAGACATGAGTCTTTTATTTAAAATCATTTCCTCGTCAAGTATTTTAATATTATCCCAATCAAAATCATGTAAAAGAAAGATTTAATTTTTGTAGAATCTCTGTGTATAAAATTCAAATAAAGTACATTCGTTTAGTTTGTGTTTTGAATTTGCCGAGCGGCGCCGAACGTGACCGAGCAATTCCGAACGACTCGGCGGTATAAACAGCGTGAGTGGGAGAGAGAGAGAGAGAGAGAGAGAAATGGGGAGACGAAGCTGCCCGGAGATGCACGAGTCGGAGGAAATCGGAGGTCTCGGAGCTCGGCGCTCGAATTTGGTGGGAGTTGGTGACGGACGGGAGCCGTGAGCGGCCACGCGGAGGCGAAGGAATCGCGAGTGAGGAACGTGTGTCGTGCGCGTTGCGTTTGCGTTCCCCGCGCTTTTCGTCCACGCGTCAAGACTCGAAGACGTGCCTATCTCCTCTTTTCTTTTCTTTTTTTTTCTCTCTCGTTCCTTCGCTCGTTACATCAAGAGCTGATATCGTAGATGAGTGTTCCGCGAGTATGATCGTGAGTTGTACGCATCATCGTTGCATCCGTCACGTGGATTATCGCCGGCCCGGACAGGGGACTTCTACTCGACTACGAACGGTGAGTGTACATTCTATTCTCGCGACATTTCGAACGGCCGCCTCTGTCCGTCTGTCTTTCACGATGGCGCGCCGTCGCGCTTGCTCCGCAAAAGCGAGCGACGTTTGAAACGCCGCTGCCCGCGGCAACGGCCGCGTCCTTCGCGCTCGACCTTCCTTCCTTCCCTCGCTCGCATTCGGCGCGTAACGCTTCAATTCTCTCTCTCTCTCTCTCTTCACCTCTGCGGATTTTCATGCATCTTGACGCGTTTTATTCGCGAGCGAGGATACTTTTACCTAACCTATCTACCCGTCTACCCCCACCCCTCGCCTCCCCCCGTCCTGCTCGGGCGACGTCGAATACCTGTTTCGCGTGATGCTCGAAAAAACTGTTCGATCGCGTGGCTGCCGTCTCGCGTCGCGTGGAGGAGCAAGACGGAACGCGCGCTTGATCGCGGGAGACTAAACGGGTGAGGCGAGGAGGAGAAGAGACGGTCCGTTGACTCTCTCTCTCGCGCGGAAGGATTCCGCGAGTTTCGGATTCCTAGCAACCGACGTACTGCCGATGTACATATAAATTCGTTTCTGCGCACGGCTGACGAACAAATAATCCGCGTCTGCAATATACATTTCCCGTTTACATCTGAGATTTTCAAGTCGCCACATGCAGCTCCGATTCTTGCCAGTGCATTAAAGGCGTGCGTGACACGCCTATTTGAATGGGATGATTCGGTTGCTCCACGTTGAGGCTTAGATGCCTTAGATCCTGGAACGCTGTATACTTACTCGATCGAGCTACAAGGTAAAATTCTACGTCCTTGTGCGAAATATAATTGCTATACAGTTGTTGGGCAATCTTCACCTTCGTCGTGTTGCTTGACGCAAGATTGGCATTTACGAGACGTGCTATTTATTACGAGAAAAAAAATCTTCAAAAACCACTTACAACTATATATTTTGCATAGATATTGCTCACGACTCGAATGCTGTTTAATGCAATTTAACGCAACCTAGATTTACGTTATACAGTGCATACAAACAATCGAGCAATGTTAGAGACAAACAGAACTTGAATAGCGACATGAACAAAAATACAATACAATTAGGCAAAATTAGATGTTGCGTTAAGAATAACGTATGCTGGCCTTGTACGATATCTTGGAAAGATGGTTTCGTAAAACTTTTTAAGTATATATAGGTTTTTCTCCGATTCGATATATAAATTGATTTTTATATATCTTGGATTATTTCTCACAAGGGGGTAACCACTATCTGAAATATTGTCCCACAGATTACATGATTTCATTTCATTTTATATAATTTAATTTTATTTGATGACATAATAATTTTTCCTCACTATATGCAGTCATTTGGTAAAATAAACGATTTTATCTAATATTACACAATTATTTCTTGTAATTGTCGGATTATATATCGAAATTTTATATAAATTTCATAATGATTTCAGGGACTCCGTCCCACGATTACATTAAGTGATTACCTCCTCGATTTCTCACTATACGGTAAAAATATTTTTATACACCTACTTATACATAATATTATTCAGTAACAAATAAGAATATACAATAGTATAACTAATATTATTAAAAATATGTATTCAATATACAATATAATTACGATTTGTGTTGGACCGTTGATTTTTAAAAACAAGTAAATAGCGGCCTAATGACGGTCAAGCAGGATTTTGGTTGCTAATGTAATATGTGAATTTTATTTAATATTAAATTCACACAAAAATAAGATTGCGAAGAATATCACAGGTTGGCGTTTCGTCTCGGCTTCTTATTTTTCACAGATTTTGATTTATCATTACTTTAACATTACATTGTTATATTTTAATATGTTTTTCAACATATTATTAAGATCCAATAAAATGTAATAAGCATCAAAAAAATTGTTAGATTGCTTGTCAATTTAACTAAGTAAGTGATATTACTACGGTAGTTGATTATAGTTGCGTTGTAAGTCTGAAAAAATTTCGGCACGCGATTAATAAGACTATATACATGGTAAATAAAATTCACACATTACATTATAGCAACCAAAATCCTGCTTGACCGTCATTAGGCCGATATTTACTTAATTGTTTTCAATATATATAATCGTATGAAAGATTAGACACAGATATGACGATGTAAAGGAATTAATTTGATCTATTGTGCGTAGTTTATTTGACGAGTTAATAATTATAATTGATTGAAAGTTACGTAGATAGATCTTGAATTAAGAATGTTATAGAATCTCTAAAAAAAAAAAAAGAGAAAGAAAACTGATCGAGCGCCTCGAGTATAGATTTGTCTGAGTAATCTTGACACGTTTTTGAAGGTCAATTTTACGTGGGTGTACGACAATATTGTCTAATCACGTAATGTACGACATGAAGATTCATCATCAAGTATAGCAGTCGAGGAAATGACAGACTTTTGACTATGCGGTAACATTAATCACTCCGACATTTTCTAAGAGAAATTCTAATAACAAAAATATGTACCTACTGTTTAATTCTATTGAGCACTTTTTGCTTATTTTTTATTCGCGAGAGAAATTCTCAGAGTAACTGGTGGAACACGCTTGTCTAGAATTATTAATTACAAAGACATTGCGACACATCTTTTATTAATTGCGAGTTTTAAAATTTTACTGAAAATTTTACTTAATAAATTTTGTTAAAAGTTTACTGGAATTTAAACAAGTTGAAGTATTTTTGTCAAATTTTTTTCAAGATGTAAAAAGAAGTGAACGTTTTCAGTAATATATAAATCTCTTCGAAACCGAATTAGTAATTCTTATTAATTTACTCCATTCTTTTATAAGTAAATTTTTATTAGTAGTTAATAGTATTGGTAGTTTAATTTCTAATCTTTTTTACGAAGTTGATTTCTGAGAGACCCTTACGATTGTACTTATTGCTTAATTTGATGCAAAGTTTACAAAAGAGAATCAAATTAAGAAGTGTCGGATGTAACGTAATGTGACGCGAGTCTAACAATAAATAGGATAAAGAAGGAAAATAAGGAAGCGTGAGACTTACTGAGTAGATCGCTGCTGCAACAGCAGGTGGGCCGACTGTGCAACGTACGCGCGCATATGCGATTACCTGTAATTCAACCTGATGGTGATGATACCTCGCGAGGCCGCGAGATACACCGACGAATTGGGTTATACGAATCACGATCCCGGCGTAGAAATCGTTACGCGTATGCAGATGCGTCTCGAGTGTGTAACTGATTAATGTTAACTCCAAGTTTTAAGGCCGCTCGGTACGCTTGAAAGTCGCTTTTTTGGTTTTTTTCCGAGAGCGACTTTCGAACGACAGATTCGTGATAGACACTGCAGTATTGACAGCGATATTCGATTATCATATTCTCAAGAGGTTACCAATCGAGAAGAAAATTCTCAAGAGAGCATCCGTCGTCTTAAGTGCTGCGGACTATATATATATAATACAGATGTAGGAAATGTTATGATGACAGAGATGAGAGAAAGTTTTTCAAACGTCGCGGTTTTGTGCATATTAATTTTAGGATACTTTTTATGATAATAATTTTAATCGGATCTTTACAGCAGCAAAAAGTAAAGAGAGTAGATAGGTAACGATAAAAAGAAATTTAATCATATAAATACAAAAGTAACGCTTGTTATATTTAAAAAAAACAACAAATAATGATATTAAAATACGGTATTAAAAACAAGCAACAATATAAAAGAT